GGGAAAGGGGGTCGTATGCGGCTTCGGGAAATTTGCCACGTTAAGGGGGAGGAAAATACCCCCGGTTACTGACTTTTAGTAGTTTTCGTAATTTTTCCTTTTTCATGTCTACTATTTTCTCCCCCCTCCCCTCGCTCGACGGAAAATCTCTGGCTGAAATCTAAAATGTGGAGAATGGGTAGGTACATAGGTGATCGTACCTAAACCCTCCTCGAAAAGGGGGTGGGTCATACTGGCATCACCGTTTCACACATCACGACGCTGTACCCTGTACCTATTTTGTATTCTGCCGCCTCTGACTCACTAATGGCTTCTTCGCGCCTCCAATATTAATACCTTCTGACTGTAAAAAAACACAAGGTGTAAGAACAGAATGTAGGAAAAAAGCCTTCTAATTCTGGTGGGCGGGACTACTAGGGAGGCGTCAGAACTGCCACCAATAAGGGGCGAAGCCCATTGATTACTTACTGTGGAATTGCAAAAGTGATATGATCTTACAGATTAGGACCAAGGTACTAGTACAAGGATAGACGCTAGCGAATTGGCCGAAGGTGGGGAATGTCTTTATCCCAGTATGCATTATGGCCCTTTAAGGCAAAAAAGGGGCGTTCCGGCTATGGGCACTCCTTGTCAATCCTCCTTTTTCAATCATATGTCTTCCTTTACCTCATTCCTTGCGCTCTAGCAGCTGTGTCCCCGAGCCCTGAAATGCTGACTATATGTCACTTCCGCCGCAGCCTATGCAGCCGCTAACACGTGCCAGAAGTCCAGTTTTACAATGTGGAATAATTATTTCCAGGAATATTTTCTTACTGCATCAATGATAGGTTCGCCTCCACTCACCCTGCACATTCCTAGCTCTCCTGATTGGCATTGGCGTTTGCCCAAGATTGGTGCCGCCTGAATTTCAAAAGATTATATGTCTATCACTTTCAAGGTAAGTTTGGCTGAGATGCCCGTAGTCTACGAAACCACCTGGACGAGCGCCTGGTCCGAAACCTGGAGCAGCTGGGCGCATGCCGCTGTCCACACCGAAGCCTGGACGACCGGGTGGTCCGAAACCTGGAGCAGTGGGCAATGCCGCCTGGCCATCCGAGCAGGAAGCCGTTTATGGATCTCGCGAAGGACGCTGGACACCGGTGGTCCGAAAACCTGGACAAGGTGGCGCATGCCGCCTGGTCCACCGAAGCCTGGACGCATGCCGCCTGGCCCACCTTGTCCGCCGAAACCTAAAACAAAACATTGAATTATAAAGTCGTTTGAAAAAAAATCCGGATAACTTTTTTAGGAATTTTTGTAGCCAGATTGTATGTGAAAAAGCATATTCCTCACCTCAGCGAACGAGTGGCTCGAAGCTGACAAAAATCGATAGAAGCGCTCTAGAATTCGACAGTTTTTGGAATACCTCGACCTACCTCGCAGTGAGTCATCGTTCATACTTGGCAATGACGCTCGTCGACAGGATTTCATTGCAATAGCCTGTTAATGCTATACATGGGAAGCCTGCATGTCGATGGACGCCGGCCGCCATTGGTGTTACATACACTCCTCATTTATTGCACCCTCCAGGAAGAAAAGCCCCACCACACCGATTGAGGCGGCACTCGTGGGTCCGTCCTTTCTATGATGCTAAAGCGCCTGTTTGGCCACGGGAGAGGGGGGGGGCGGGAGGAGCGTGCGTTGGCGCGTCATCCGAACCCTGAACGCTGCGTAGGTAAGCGATTTCGTGAATTCTTGGCCGACTTGAAATAGATCTTTTCCTCTAGCTAGGAAATGTATGGTCGCGTTGCTGCAGAGCAATGATTTGCGGAAGTGCGGCAAGAAGTTTGGCCGCACTCATCCTGGAGGAGGGGGGAGGAGTGAGCCGATTAGCACTTTCCGTAGTTCTTTCCATAGGTCATGTCAATACACTGGTGAGGCGTGTAAATTCCTATAAAACTGCGAGCTGTACAAGTGAGCAACAAGTTGACTGCACAATTTGCGCTGTGTGCGGTTTGCTGCCCCTGAGCCGAACTGTGCCTGGGTTCCTGTTAGATAGAACCCGAGGCTTCCCCTTTCTGCGGGGGAGCTTTCTGTTTCTTTTACTTTCTCGACTTGTGTCCAAAAAGCGGCAAATAGAAAACAGAATTGAAAAAAATGATTTAAGAATGCAGGATAGGTAGCAAAAAGCTGTGCAAGAAGAATTCATACCTGGCCTTCCAAACTGACTGGACACCAAGCAGATCAATGTGGCAAAGACGAAGACCGTTAATGTACCCATCTAGGAATCGTCTGTGGTGGTACTGGTAAGAACTGACACTTGCCTTATACTGTTTCGCTCCGCCCATTCAGACTGTGGTCTTGATGTTTCGTCGTCGCTCTAAATGACGAACTGAACCTGCTCGTCTTTCTGAATTATGGTCTTCTTTTCCGGTTATTGAAAAACGCCATATACCCGAAGTTCGACCAACAGAATGAGAAGTGATTTAATGCCAGTAGCCCATGAATTCTTCTGCTTAATGTAAAGGCTTCCAGAATGTTCTAGTGTAATGTGAAGGAATAAATCACTGACGGTGGGCGCACTCTCTTTATTCAGTTGCAATGCTGTGCTTACTGTTTATAGGGTAGCCAAGCAAGTTTTTTTTTTGTTTGGGAAGAAAACTGGTACCAGATTCTCCTGAAAGGGTAAGCATACTTGGCTGGGTCATTGGTTGACCTCCGCCAGCCATTCTATAGGTCCCGCAGCACTGACTAAGCCAGTACGACTCTGGATGGAAGTAGAAGGCGCGGCGCATTCCAGATAGAATGCGCGGCGCATTCCAGAAAGGGACTGATCTATGGCGAAGACTTCATCCTTCACCCTTCATCCTCCATTTCTAGGAGATAGAAGAGGCGTGGATGCGTACTCTATTCAAGCGTCGAGGTAGCTTTTCTTCCAGTTGATGAAATATTTCTGGAACAGTTGAAATCGTCTTTATACAGCAGAAAATTGCCTACGAGTCGCTCTAAATAGAAATGCCTCTGAAAAAACGTGACCATTCCATTAGTGTTCGCAACCGCACCCTTCTTCTCGGGAGTGCAATAACAGAAAAAAATCAACTGATATTAGCATGAGCTGCAAAACCTGCCATTCCTCCCGCGATATTTCAGAGCACTTCTTTACTTCTATAATACTGCGCAAGGCTCGTATGTAACAGTTTGCCGGAACATGTGGCAACGACGGCAACTAGTGGCCAAAACTTCGAGAACCTTCAGAAGTATAGGGCACAATTATTTGGTACTCGATCAAAAATTGTAGCAGGAATGCTGTACAGTGAGGGGGAAAGGCTCTCTAACCCCTTACAGTTCTCGGAGGATCCCATAGAATCCTCTCCTCTAAATTGGAATCGGTTGCCACGGAAGAAGGGAAGGGGAGGAATCTTGATCGGAGCTCGTTTGACAATTTCTTCCGCTTTTCTGCGCAGCAGCTAGTCAATTAGCTCATGCCTTTCAGTGGGTTACCTCGGCTATTCAAGACTTACAAAGGTGTGTCCTCTAAAGACTGACGGAAGCATGAACTACATTTGGTTCTCACAGAGAGAGTATGAGTCATACTAAAGAGTATGAGCTTTTCCAGTCAAAATTGACTCAAGCGCATAGGATCGAGCAGCCGCTGACCCTCTTCAATAGTAGTTGACATAATGCATGATAAAGGTACTCTTCCTGAAGTGGTAGCAGGGGTGACACATAGTGGGATAAAGGGCGAAAAGACGAAGTGAAACGGTCAAAACTGCAAAAGAAG